CTTCGTCCGTGGTCGCCTCAAACACAATTTCCCCCTATCAAGAATTCCATGAACTTCGCCGTCCACTCTTCCACGACGCGGAACCGATCTTTTGTGTCGGGGGCACCTGCCAGGGCGCCCCGCGCCTCTCTCCACGCCGGCCACGCCCGCAACCACGTTTCTTCCATGACTCGCAAGAGTGGTTCCGTTTCGCCCCACGCTTTCCAAAGATGAGCGCGCAGCTCGCCCGGCGCGAATCCCACGCCTCGGACCGTTCGCATGGACTTCGCAGAAGAAACAACGCGCGGAAATCTGACTCCCGGATGACTCGCACTGGCGCCAAGTGATCCCGGGGCAGGATGCGCACTGCCAGACCGCTTCCTCTTCGGGCGGCGACGCCCTGCATGATGACCCTGTCGGGGCTCTTCTCCCGCGACGTCGCCGTGGAAGGTGCCCCCAGGTCGATCCTCCTCGCACATCCCCTGATGCGCCCGTCTGCACTCCCTCCCTTGCCGGACCTCGGCGCTGAGGTACCGCCTTGGAGTGGTCCTTTCCAACCAGCCTGGCCTTCCACCCCCTTGCTTTCGCGCCCCCCAGCCAACCGCCGTTCTCGTTGCATGCAGCGCACTGGTCGCGCAACGCCTGCGGTGGCGTCGCGTCGGCCCAGAATGCCAAACCTTCGAGTTCCGCTCCTCGGAAAAGCGTTGGCCCCGCCCACCAGAGCGCAAACCAATGGGGGAAGTCGCTATGTACGCCGACGGTATTGCATGCACAACTTCGCGCGCCCCTCGGAAGGCGGTCTCTGAACAAGAGGATTCCCTCGGTGAAGCCTCTCGCTCAAACAAGCCGCGTCCGTCGGTGCCCCAGCGCGCGTGGCCTGGGCGGCTCGTCGCACGCGCTAATGTGCACCGCGGCTGACGCAAACCTTCGGTGCCGCCAGGTATCCGAACGCGTATATCCTGCGACGCCCCACCGCCGCGCCGCGCGCCCGCGCCCCCGCCAGGTTCGCCCCGCCATGCGCGGACTGAATCAGGGGCGTTCCCCCGGGGCGCCACCATTTGAAGACCGCAATCGCGCAGTGCTTGGAAGGGGTCCCACTCGTCCAGGTGGGCACCGTGGCTTGCCTGCACGCACGCGGTTAACGTGAAGTTCAGCACGTCCAATTCGCGCCACGTGTGAAACGCCTGGCCAGCTTGGCGTCGGAGCCCCAGCATGACCGCGCTCTTACCGTCCGCGAAAGCATTCGCGGGCAGTTTCTGCAAGATGCGCGGCGCTGGTTCGCCATCCTGGACTAACATGCGCGCGAGAATTCCCGCGATGCAGAAGAACAAGCAGTCGCCGCCGCCGCCGAACTCGACGCCTTCGAGGCGCCCCAGCCTGCTGTCTGGGCCATTGCTCAACGCGGACACGTGGCGCTGCAGCGTCCCCGACACGGGCGCCGGCGAGCCTCGCGCCCGCTGCAGCGGCGTCGTGACTGCGTCGCCGGCGCTTCTCGCGAACGCAATCTGTCCTTCTTGGCAGCGAAGGCCCGTTGCGCCCATCGCAGCTGGCACGCGAGATGCTCGGAGGGCTGCCCCGCGCCGCTCTCCCCCCGCGCTTGCGTTGCCCTGCTGCGCGGTAGAACTGCTTCGAGGCCCCGCGACTCCGCCACCGCCTGCCGCAACCTGCAACCACGGAGCATGCCCCCGTGCTCCTTCCACGCCGTGCAACCCGCGCCACCCTCGAGCTACGCGCGCCACGTGACCCCCCGCGAGCCACGCGGCAGCACCTGCACAATTTCCCCCCGCATCGCCCAGCGGCCACTTAGAAAGCGGAGCCCCTTGCGTGAAGTGAGCCAGGCTTTGCGCCTCGTACACCCATGGCAATGCGTACGTCTGTTGGCAACGCAACCACGCCTCGACGGCGAACGCGTTCTGCCTTGCCACCGAATCTCCCATGCTCTCCCCAGAGACCACGTGATTGGCGCACTCCCGTTCAAATCTGCGGAAAGCGTCTCTCCGCCACCGTCCGCGTCGCATCTTCGCTGGACGCACTTCTTCTCAAAGTGCCGCAAAGTATCCTCATCCTCAACCAACACAGGCCGTTCTGCACACGACGCTGGCGACGCACGCGCCGCCCGCGCGACGGCCACTCGAAGCACCCTACGACCAACAATCTCGGCTCCTTCGTTGGACGTTACCACGGGCCGCCCGACGACGTCATCCGCGCCCTGCCTGTCCGCGCGGTCTCTCGGGCGTTGACTTCCTGATTTCCTGTGCGGGCCGACGCCCTGTGGCCGACGCGCGCCGACACTGCGCGCAGACCCTGCGCACCTCGCTCTACGGCCCGACCCCCACAGCGCGAGCTGGCACAAACCGCGCGAATCCGACGCGTGTCCGAGCGAGACGGACAGGATGGCGCGCAGTACGTCAAATAACGGCGCGTCGTTCGCCATCATCGACAGCTGCCGTGCATCACCGCGCGCCGTGCGCCCTCCACGCAGGCCATGACGTCGTGCTCGGGGCCGCAGCAAGGACCAGCGCGCTCTGAACCTCTCACGGACACAAGCGAGCCCCCCAATCGCGGCGTCGCGGTTGGCGCTGCACGCCTGCGTCATCACTACCTTGCGGTTCTTTCCCAACCTGGCTCCCTCGTCTCCTGTTCCACCACGCGAGCGCTTCCTGGAAACCCGCCTCATGCGTCCCCGCCAACACCGACGGCCACATCGGGGCCCCCGTACGGCACGCCGCCAAGGGTTCGAAGCGGCCTCTTGCTTCTGCCGCGCCTTCCGTGATCGCTCGTTGCCTCCGGGTCTGCGGCCACGTCCTGACAGCGGCCACACAAAAGACCCCCTCGCAAACCGCAGCCGCCGCAAAAATGCAAGAGTTTCGCGAGCGTTTGCCCCTTGTGCGAACCGAGCGGGACAACCTCATTCGTGCACCGCGGTCGCAGAGAAAAAAACGATAGTCTCCTCCTTCCCCCGGGTCAACAGAAGTCCTCCCGCGCGCCGCAGCCGCCGAAGGAGGGCGACAGCTGCCCCCTTCGACTGGGCGAACGGCAACCTCTCTGCCATTGCTCGCGCTGAGACCCCCAAGCGCCGGCCCAAGAAAGAGCGACTCTCCGAGCGCGGACCGAACGCGGCGGGAGCAGGCGGCCCCAGCATCGAATCGATAAACTGGATCGGGTCGACTGGAGCATCGAATCGGCAGAAATCGGCAAAAGCCGGCAGCCAAATCGAAATCGGCTGAGGTCGGCAAGTCCGAGCCGGATCGAGTCGGAAACCGGACCGCGTCAAGTCGGATCGGAATCGAAATCGGACCCCCCCCTGGGGGGGGTTGGGTTTTTGGAAAACCCCCCCTGGAAGGGGTTTGGGGTCCCCCGGAGCTTTCGGACCCCCCCCTCCGGGGGAGGTTTGGGGTCCCGGCGCTTTTGGACCCCCCCCCCCGGGGGGGTTTGGGGTCCCGGAGCTTTTGGACCCCCCCCCCCCTGGAGGGGGTTTGGGGTCCCGGAGCTTCTGGACCCCCCCCCCTGGGAGGGGTTTGGAGTCCCGGCGCTTTTGGAAAACACCCCCTGGGAGGGGTTTGGAGTCCCGGAGCTTTTGGAAAACCCCCCCCTGGGGGGGCGTTGGGGTCCCGGAGCATGTGGAAAACCCGTCCTTGGGGGGGGGGGTCCCAGAGCTTTCGGAAAACCCCCCTCTCGGGGTGGTTCGGGGTCCCGCAGCTTTCGGACCCTCCCCCCCTGAGGGGGGGTTCGGGGTCCTGGAGCTTTCGGACCCCCCCCCCCCCCCCTGGGGGGGGTTCGGGGTCTGGGAGCTTTCGGGATCCCCCCCCCCCTGAGGGGGGTTCGGGGTCCGAAATCCCCTTCCTGGGGGGGGGGGGTCGGGGTCCCGGACCTTTCGGTAAACCCCTCCTGGTGGGGGTCTGGGGTCCCCGAGCTTTTGGAAAACCCTCCTTTTGGGGGGGTTTGGGGTTCCGAAGCTTTCGACCCCCCCCCCTGGGAGGGGGTTGGGGTCCCGGAGCTTTCGGACCCCCCCCCCTGGAGGTGGTTCGGGGTCCCGGAGCTTTCGGAAAACCCCCCTCTGGGGGGGGTTGGGATTTTGGACTCCCCCTCTGGGGGTTCCTCCTCCCTCCTCCTCCCCCCTTTGGGGGCCACAGCCGGAGCGAGGCCAGATCGGCAAAAGCCGGCAGGAATCGGCTGACGCATCGAATCGGCAGAAGCCGGATCGGGCAAACTCGAAATCGGAATCGCGAATCGGAATCCTGGAATCGAGTCGGTTCGAAATCGGAATCGCGGAAATCGATTCGAATCGAACCGGCGGAATCGGAATGACCCCTGCGGGAGTGTCTTTCTTAGACAGAGCGCGCAGGAGTTCCCACGCGCGAAGCAGTCGCGGGAAAAATGCGAGAGTTTCTCCCCTTCCACCGGGCGAACACCCACGTCTCTGCAACCGTTCTCGCCGACAGATCCATGCGCCGGCCATGGAGCTCGAGACGCCCTCACCGCAGACGGAATGAGGTAGCTCTCTCCTTTCACCGGACACACACGGGCTCCCTCGTAAACCGCTGCGACCGAACATCTGCGAGAGTTTTCCCTCTCGTCGAGTAAAATGCGACCCCCTCCTACGAAGTCCTGTCCTGTCGACTTCGAGGGCGGGGGCCCCCCGGAATCCCCCCAGGCCCAGCCCGAACGCGTCATGGAGGCACAGAGTGGACCCCCGAGACGGTCCAAATGGCCCCGAGTCGCCGAACGATTGCCCCAAGCCGCCCAATATGACCCCCAGACAACCCAAGAAACCCCGAGAACCACTCCACCAGGACAGTCTGACGACCCTTGTTTTGTCGGGAGCGGCAAAGAGGGGGGTGTGCAAGAGGGGGGGGGTGCAAATCATGACCGGCGGCATGTGCGCGGCCCAGCGGGGGGGCCAGGGACGTAATGAAACAAGAAGAGGCGCCATGAAATCTGGTGAAATATCATGGTCCCCGCCATGATATCCACCCCCCAAAGTCACCACCCCCCTCTTTTCCGCCCCCGATTTTGTTGACTTCGAGAACGCCAGCTCTTCTGGGGTCGGCGGCAGATGCGGGCATGCTGGTTCGTGCCGCGGGATGCTGCGGCCTGTCTTGCCACGACCTGCTGCGCCGGTGGCCGATCGGCAGCCGGCCTGCGCGATCTGCGCCAGAAAAGCACATGCGAGAAGTGCTCGGCCGACCTCGTTCAGCCAGCGCGTGATCGGCATCTTGGCCGAAATTGTTCGGCCGAGACTGCTCGACCCTAAGATGCTTCGCCCGAGTCTGCTCGGCCCTTTGGCCCTCAGCTGCATCCTTGCCCCTCGTCTGCCCTCGCTACCCCACCCTCTTAGGCCCACAAAGGTGGTCTGTCAAGTGTGAAACATGCAGCAGTGTGGCAAGTGGGCCATGGTTACCGAAAAACTTGATACTCGGGGAGGTGGGGATGGATGTTCGGAAGTGGGAGGGGAAATTAAAAATCATAGCCGGAGTGCAGTATCCCCAGGGTTTTTAGACCCACTGCGGTTTCCAAGGTCAATTCCGTGCCCGTCCAGTGCGGGCTGGCATGGCATGTTTAAACACGCCTTCTCCTCCTCCTCCTCCTCCTCCTCCTCCTCCTCCTCCTCCTCCTCCTCCTCCTCCTCCTCCTCCTCCTCCTCCTCCTCCTCCTCCTCCTCCTCTTCATCCCGAACGGCATCTCGGAGCCCAGAGTTGCGAGGATGTCTCCAGCGTCACGGGCTGGACCACCTCGCGCGCGGCATTTCGGACCCCAGAGTTGCGACGATGTCTCGGGCGAAAAAGGCTGCCAGGAAGTCTCAGGCGAAACGGGCCGGACCAACTCGAGCGCGGCGTCTCAGAGCTCCGAGTTGCGGGGGCCTCCTGGTGCCTCCTGGGACCTCCTGGTGGCCTCCTGGGGCTTCCTCCTGGTCCTCCTTTGGCCTCCTAGACCCCACCTGGGGCTTCCTGAAGCCTCTTGGGGCTCCCAGGGGGGGATATCTGACATGTGGCCGTCGGGGCCTCCCAAAATGGGAGGGCACAAGAGCAGGAAAACTCAACGAATCGACACTGGATGTGTATTAACTTGACACGTTCTGATAGGGGGCCTCCTGGGGCCTCCTGGGAGCCTCCTGGGAACCTCCTGGGGACCCCTGGGGCCTGTCCTGGGCGTCCTGCGGCCTCCTGAAGCTCTCTGGGGCCTCCTCGGAGCCACATGTGGTCTTCTGGGCCCCCAGGCTGGACCACCTCTTGCGCAGCATGTGAGAGCTCAGAGTTGCGAGAATGTCTTGTGCGAAACGGGCTGGACCACCTTGCGCACGGCATCTCAGAGCTCAGAGTTGCGAGGATGTCTCCGGCGAGATGGGCCGGACCACCTCGCGCAGGGCATCTCGGAGCCCAGAGTTGCGAGGATGTCTCCAGCGTGACGGGCTGGACCACCTCGCGCGCGGCATTTCGGACCCCAGAGTTGCGACGATATCTCGGGCGAAACGTGCTGCGAGGAAGTCTCAGGCGAAACGGGCCGGACCACCTCGAGCGCGGCGTCTCAGAGCTCCGAGTTGCCGGGGGCATCCTGAAGCATCCTGGGACCTCCTGGTGACCTCCTGGGGCTTCCTCCTGGGCCTCCTGTGGCCTCCTGGACCCCACCTGGGGCTTCCTGAAGCCTCATGGGGCTCCCAGGGGGGGATATCTAACATGTGGCCGTCGGGCCCCCCCAAAATGGGGGGCCACAAGAGCAGGAAAAATCAACGAAACGACACCCGATGTGTATTAACTGGACACGTTCTGATAGGGGGCCTCCTGGGGCCTCCTGGGAGCCTCCTGGGAATCTCCTGCGGACCCGTTGGGCGTGTCCTGGGCGTCCTGCGACCTCCTGAAGCTCTATGGGGCCTCCTGGGGCTCCCAGGGTCCCAGGGGGGATATGTAAAATGTCGTTTTCTTGGCTCCCAGGCTGGACCACCTCTTGCGCAGCATCTGAGAGCTCAGAGTTGCGAGAATGTCTTGTGCGAAACGGGCCGGACCACCTTGCGCACGGCATCTCAGAGCTCAGAATTGCGAGGATGTCTCCGGCGAGATGGGCCGGACCACCTCGCGCAGGGCATCTCGGAGCCCAGAGTTGCGAGGATGTCTCCAGCGTGACGGGCTGGACCACCTCGCGCGCGGCATTTCGGACCCCAGAGTTGCGACGACATCTCGGGCGAAACGTGCTGCGAGGAAGTCTCAGGCGAAACGGGCCGGACCACCCCGAGCGCGGCGTCTCAGAGCTCCGAGTTGCCGGGGCCTCCTGGGGCCTCCTGGGGCCTCCTGGGGCCTCCTGGTGACCTCCTGGGGCTTCCTCCTGGGCCTCCTGTGGCCTCCTGTACCCCACTTGGGGCTTCCTCAAGCCTCTTGGGGCTCCCAGGGGGGGATATCTAACATGTGGCCGTCGGGGCCCCCCAAAATGGAAGGGGGGCCACAAGAGCAGGAAAAATCAACGAAACGACACCCGATGTGTATTAACTGGACACGTTCTGATAGGGGGCCTCCTGGGGCCTCCTGGGAGCCTCCTGGGAATCTCCTGGGGACCCCTGGGGCCTGTCCTGGGCGTCCTGCGGCTTCCTGAAGCTCTCTGGGGCCTCCTGGGGCTCCCAGGGTCCCAGAGGGGATATGTAACATGTGGCCGCTTGGGCCCCCAGGCTGGACCACCTCTTGCGCGGCATCTGGGAGCTCAGAGTTGCGAGAATGTCTTGTGCGAAACGGGCCGGACCAACTTGCGCACGGCATCTCAGAGCTCAGAGTTGCAAGGATGTCTCAGGCGAGACGGGCCGGTGTCTCGGGCGAAACGCGCTGCGAGGAAGTCTCAGGCGAAACGGGCCGGATCACCTCTCGCGCGGCGTCTCAGAGCTCCGAGTTGCGGGGGCCTCCTGGTGCCTCCTGGGGCCTCCTGGGGACCTCCTGGGGCTTCCTCCTGGGCCTCCTGTGGCCTCCTGAACTCCACCTGGGGCCTCCTGGGGCCTCCTGGGAGCCTCCTAGGAATCTCCTGGGGACCCCTTGGGCCTGTCCTGGGCGTCCTGCGGCCTCCTGGAGCTCTCTGGGGCCTCCCCCTCCTCCTGCCTGCTCCCTCATGCACATCATCCGCCTCCTCCTTCTCCCTTCCATCTCCTCCTCCTCCTCCTCCTCCTCCTCCTCCTCCTCCACCTCCTCTTCATCCCGAACGGCATCTCGGAGCCTAGAGTTGCGAGGATGTCTCTGGCGTAACGGGCTGGACCACCTCGCGCGCGGCATCTCGGACCCCAGAATTGCGGCGATGTCTCGGGCGAAACGTGCTGCGAGGAAGTCTCAGACGAAACGGGCCGGACCACCTCGAGCGCGGCGTCTCAGAGCTCCGAGTTGCGGGGGCCTCCTGGTGCCTCCTGGGGCCTCCTGGGGACCTCCTGGAGCTTCCTCCTGGGCCTCCTGTGGCCTCGTGAACTCCACCTGGGGTTTCCTGAAGCCTCTTGGGGCTCCCAGGGGGGATATCTAACCTGTGGCCGTTTGGGCCTCTCCAAATGGAGGGGGGGGCACAAGAGCAGGAAAAATCAACGAATCGACAGTGGATGTGTATTAACTTGACACGTTCTGATAGGGGGCCTCCTGGGGCCTCCTGGGAGCCTCCTGGAAATCTCCTGGAGACCCCTGGGGCCTGTCCTGGGCGTCCTGCGGCCTCCTGGTGCCTCCTGGGGCCTCCTGGGGACCTCCTGGAGCTTCCTCCTGGGCCTCCTGTGGCCTCGTGAACTCCACCTGAGGCTTCCTGAAGCCTCTTGGGGCTCCCAGGGGGGATATCTAACCTGTGGCCGCTTGGGCCCCTCAAAATGGAGGGGGGCACAAGAGCAGGAATAATCAACGAATCGACACCGGATGTGTATTAACTTGACACGTTCTGATAGAGGGCCTCCTGGGGCCTCCTGGGAGCCTCCTGGGAATCTCCTGAGGGCCCCTTGGGCCTGTCCTGGCCGTCCTGCGGCCTCCTGGACCTCTCTGGGGCCTCCTGAGGCTCGCAGGGTCCCATGGAGGATATATAACATGTGGTCTTCTGGGCCCCCAGGCTGGACCACCCCTTGCGCAGCATCTGAGAGCTCAGAATTGCGAGAATGTCTTGTGCGAAACATGCCGGACCACCTTGCGCACGGCATCTCAGAGCTCAGAGTTGCGAGGATGTCTCAGGCGAGATGGGCCGGACCACCTCGCGCAGGGCATCTCAGAGCTCAGAAGTTCGAGGATGTCTCAGGCGAAACGGGCCGGACCACCTCTCGCGCGGCATCTCCGAAATCAGAGTTTCGAGGATGTCTCAGGCGAAACGGGCCGGACCACCTCGCGCAAGGCATCGCAGAGCTCAGAGTTTCGAGGATGTCTCAGGCGAAACAGCCCGGACCACCTCTCGCACGGCACCTCGGGGCTCAGAGTTTCGAGGATGTCTCAAGCGAAACGGCCTGGACCACCTCTCGCGCGGCGTCCCGGAGCGCAACTTTTCGAGGATGTCTCAGGCGAAACGGCCAATCCCGGCCAACTCAGAAACGAGAGTTGTGAGGATGTCTCAAGCGAAACAGCCAAAACCATAAAATTTGTGTGAGGATGTCTCTGCTCCGCGTTCCCTCGGCCGGAGTTAGTTTCTACCACAACAGCACCCCGTTCAGCAAGCTGTTTGGGGAATCGGCACAGAACTTCGGATTTGTAACTTCCGCACACGCCCTAACTGCCCTGACGCCGCATCCTCTCGCCAAGCTGCGAAGAGGCGGAGGCTGAGGAGAAGAAGGGAGGACATACTAATCAGCATGGAGGCGGAGAATGGAAGGAGGAGATGGCCCAAACACTGAAGGCGAGGGCCCCTCATGCGGGGTCGACGTCTCTGGTGCGGCTCTTGCTGCAACTGCTGCTTATACTGCGTGCTGCGTGCTGCTGCTGCTGCTGCGTGCTGCTCATTTACTGGACTCTCCTTGGAAGACGAAGACTCCCTCAGGTCCGACCCGCGCGCCGACGAGGAGGCAGGCGACGTCCCACTGGCGGCATATTGCACATTCTTGCGCTGCAGTCGGCGGCGCTGCGTCCTCGAAAGGCTCTCACGAATGCTCCCCTCCGCCTCCTCCGCCGCTCGCGAACTCTCAGCAGGGCCCTCGGGGGCAGACGTCTCCGCGGGCGACGAGCGGACCACAACGTGCATGACGTCCGCCCAGACCCGCTCTGACGACCCCGACAAGGTGGCCGAGGACTCGGTGCAAGGGCCCGGATCGGAGCTGGGCTTCTCAGCCACTTCGATCTCCTCCAGCCACGGCGACCTGCAGTCCACGAACGTGTTCTTGGTGGTCAGCAGATGTTTGGGCGGCATGGCTTGCCCAGCGGCCAGAGTCGCGCCGCAATTCCAAAGGGCGAGGCTGCGCAACCACAGCCTTGAGTTGAGCCAAACCTTCTTGGGCAAGCTGGGGGTGTCGGAAGCCCGAAACCGCGAGAACGCGAAAAACATTGAAAACCACAACGAAATCAATGATTTGTGGCCTCTTGAGGCCCTCTTGGAGATCATCTCGGAGCGCCCTTGGGGCTTCTTCGGTGCCTCTCGGGCCATCATGGGGGCCTCTTCGGCCCTCTGGCGGCCACCGTTGGCTGTTTTGAAGCAGTCTTGGAGGCCTCTGGGAACAGTCTTCGCGGCCTCTGGGCACCAAGGAGTCCTCGACCCCGGGAACTAAAATTAGGTCGGGCATATCCCCCTACAGGGGGACTTTGGACGAAGAATTAAAAATACCCCTAACAGATTCAGAAATCTATTTTTTTAAGGGTCCCCAACCTATTTTTGTACTATTTTTGAATATTCCTCCTGTAGAGGGACAAGCCCGACTTAATACTAAAACTTGAAACCAGGGGAGGGGAGTTTTGGAGAAAAGGGCCGCCCACGGGCCGGGGGAAATCCAGTCGCCGGCCCCCAGGAACTAAAGTTTGGAAAACTAGGGGGGGGTCTTGTAAAAAGGGGCCGCCCCCGGGCCTGGGGAACCCGTCGCTGGATATAAGTATATACACATATGTATATATAATTATATATAGCTCTCTCTCTCTCTCCCTCTCTCTGGGCATTGCCGAAAGTCATCCCATTGAACCATTGCCGAAGCAAAGAGGGGGGCAATGGTCGGCACCGCTGTCGACGGTGGTGTCAACGAGAAGCGACGCGCCAGTGGGTATGCAGCAAGCCCCCTCTCCACACAGCTTGGTCATAGGCCCCGGTCGGACCCCCTTCCAACCACCTCGAGAAAGCTGCTCCATCCCCTCTACCGCGATGTCTGAATGCCGAGCGGAGGGCGCCTTTGAAGGCCGACTGCTTTACAGAGGCCACTGCATGCGCCTGCTCGGAGCAGGATGAAAACATCGATGCGCACGGCTGCTAGCTGTGAAGCTATGCTGCTAGGCTCTCAGGTTCCACACCCTCCCGTTGCCCCACCTCAGAACTGTCTTGGGGCCCTCTAGGGCCCTCTTTTTTTGTTAAATTGAGCGCGGAACCCTTCTGCAACACAACATTATGAAGAAGGGGGACCCTGGCGACAAACCGCTTCATCGCCACCTCACTGACTGGATAGAAGAAGGAAATCAAAACTACGCGGAACGAGGCTTCGACATTGCTTGCAACCTGGCATCCGCGTGCACTCGACAAATGCCAGCTAATGACAAACAAGACTTGAACAGATCACGGTACCTTGACATATCTGCGTCTATAAGATCGTATGAATCTCGTCAGAATCGTCGTCAAGCTCGGTTCCATGGGAGGAACTAAAGCTAAATTCGTGCAGTACGTTGCTCCTGACCACGACCGTTGCCAAAATAGCGAAGCCGACGGGAGTGGAGCCCTCTAAGCAGCAGTCAAAGTGAAGATGTCGAAGGGACTCATTCAACGTCAACGCTTTCCCGAAAGCCGCTAAGCACTCGTCGCAATCGCTCAGGTGGAGCCTCCAGAGTGACGCGTTCTCCTCCACAGCTGCAGCGATACTCGCCAACCCACCGCGGGCCTCGCTGAAACAATCACGCAAGCGAAGAACCTGCAAAACCGTGGTTTCCTTTACCAATTGAGAAAATGCAGCTAGACCATCGTCGCCGACGCTCTCAAAGCAACTCTCAAGATGAAGAGTCTGGAGGGCTGCGTTCAGCTTCAATGAGTGGGCAAATGCAATCAACCCAGCGCTGTCGACACTCTTCAAGCAACCCTTGAATTGAAGATGGTGCATGGACTGGTTGTTCTACAACATCTCAGCCAAAGCCGCCAGTCCCAACCGACCTTGAAGATTCTTGACATTCAAGCAAAGCTTCTGGACGCTGTCCTTCTGAGTCACTGCTTTGAACAATTTTGCCAAACCGTCGTCGTCAATGCAACAATCCATGCTCAGACTATGTATTGAGCCGTTGCACTCGATGGCCTCAGCAAGAGCGGTCCAGCCCTGGCTGCCAGATTATTTGCAGATCTCCCTGAAGCAAAGGCCCTGCAAACATGAATTCAGTCCAACCGCCTCAGCGAACGCTGTCAAGCCGTCGTCGCCCGCCAGCTTGAATCAGGTCGTACAAATCAAGGCGCTGCAGAGAATGTTTGCCTTCAAGCCTTCCGCAAAGGCTACCAGGCACATATGTCCGCGACAGAAAGGTCGCTGTCCTCGAAAGAACATCCATCAAAGCAGCCTCCTGTATCAAGACAGCTGAGGGATATAGTTTCCTTCAGTGCCAAAGCAAGGGCAGCCATGCCCTCACTGCCAGCATTCTTAAAACAATTCCACATTTAAAGCACCAGAGGACATTGTTCCCTGCAGTGCCTGGGCGAACTTGGCCAAACCATAATTGCCACTACGATATAAGGAGAATCCCACTTCCATGCTCTCGATTGACGTGTTCCTCGTCAAGGCTTCCACGAAACTTGCCAGATCGTCATAGCCGGCCTCTCGCAAAACGCGAACCCCGTGTAAACGCATGCTTCGGAGTGACCGGTCCTCATGGAAAACCGGTCTCTCCGAAGCATCATGGAAAGATTTAAGACCTCCGTTGTCAGCGTCATTCAAACAACACTCCAAGTCCAAGCTCTGGAGGGACAGGTTCTCCCTCAAACCTTCGGTAACTTTTGTCAAGCAATGACTACTGCTGTCTGTTAAACAGTATCCCAAGTGGAGGCCCGTAAGAGACCTGTTCTCCGAGAAGGCGAGATCCCGAAAACCTTCAAAAATCATAGAAAAAACAACAAATTGTGTCTCTTTCTGCCCTCCTAGGGGAACCTCTTGGAGGCCTCTTGGGGCGTCTTGAAGGCTCTTGGGGCGTCGCAGGACCATCTTGAGCGTCTTCGAGCGATCTTTGGCCGCTTCGGGGCCCTCTTGGACCACCATCTTGGGGGCCTCCTGGGGCTGTCTTGGAGGCCTCCTTGGCGTCTTGAAGCCCCTTGGAGGCGCCGGGGAGGGGGTATCAAAAACGGGGGGCCGCTGTCACGACGGAGGTGGGCGGGGCGCTTTTCGGGGGGGGCGGTATGTGTTTTATACGTTATGTATGTGTGTATGTATGTGTATATATATATACACATAGCCCAGGCCGGGGGGGCGCTGGATGATCTTGGACAGCGCTATCAAGCACAAGCGCGTGACATAGTCGTGCCTCCTGCGGGACTCTTGGGCTTCTGTGGGGTTCTCCGTGCTTCCTCAATTGGCTGTTGGAGGCACCTCGTGGGTGCTTCTCAGGGGGGGCGTCTTGGGGCTTCTTGGGGCCCCTTGGGGGCATCGTTGGGGTTCTCCGGGCAGTCGGAAGGTGATGTTCTGCATTCTGAAGCCGTCATTGGCAATCTTGGCTGCGTGGAGGCCCGACCTGAGGCCACCTGGGGCCACATCGCGGCAATCCGGAAGCCTCCCAGGAGCCTCCCGGAAGCAGTTTTGATGCATCGAAGGCATTGTTAGCCTTTTGAGGCCTCTTGGGATGCTTTTGGGGGCCTCGTCGGATCACTTGGGGACTCTTGGGGCCTCCTGTGGGCCTCTCAGGGCGGAAGGCTCTGCTGTTGGGTTCGCGTTCCCCTTCTTGGGCCTCTCTTGGAGCCGCCTTGGTGTCCTCTCGGGCCGTCTTGGGCGCCTCAGGCACCGTCTTGGGGCCCTCGTGGATCGTCTTGGGGCCCTCTTTGAGACCTCTTCGGCTATCTTGGAACGGTCTTGGGGGCCACTTGGGCCGTCTTGGAGCGTCAAGATGCCATAAGGCTGAAAACTCTAAAATCAATCAAACACCGATGGGAAACAACGATTTTTGCCTCTTGGGGCCTTCTTGGGAGGCCTCTTGAAACCTCTTCGGCCCTCTGGGGAGCTTCTTGAGGGCCTCTTGGATCATACTGAGGGCATCTTGGGGCTTCCTGAGAGCCTCTCGGGGTGGAAGGCTAGGATTTTCGATTCGTCTTACCCCTCTTGCGCCCCTCTTGGGGCTGTCTTGGTGCCTTCTCGGGCCGTCTTGGGCGACTCAGGCACCTTCTTGGGGCCCTCGTGAGCCGTCTTGGGGCCCTGTTGGAGGCCTCTTGGGCTATCTTGGAACGGTTTTGGATGCCTTTTGGGCCGTCTTGGAGCGTCGGGACGCCCAAAGGCTGAAACCTCGAAAATCAATCAAAAAACCGATGGCAAGACGATGATTATTGCCTCTTGGGGCCTTCTTGGGAGGCCTCTTGGAGCCTCTTCGGCCCCCTGCGTTGCTTCTTGGGGCCTCTTAGGACCTGTTGGGGACTTCTCGGGGCCTCCTGAGAACCTCTAGCCGTGGAAGGCCGAGATTTTCGATTCGTGTGATCCCTCTTGGTGCTGTCTTCGGGCCCTCTCGGGCCGTCTTGGGCGCCTCTGGCGCCGTCTTGGGGCCCTCTTGGACTGTCTTGTGGCCGTCTTAGAGGCCTCTGGGGCTGTCTTGGAGCGGACATTGGGGCCTGTTGGGCCGTCATAGTGCGTCGGGGAACTGAAAGGGCGAGAACCCGAAAATCCTTTCAAAACCGAAGGAAAATGAATTATTTGTGCCTCCTGTGGCTCTTTGGGAAGCATCTTGGAATTCTCTGGGGCCTCTTGGAGGCCTCTTGGACAATCAAGACCTAATTCTGGGGTGATCTCGGGCCGTCATTGGTCGCGCTCGCGGTCTGGAAGCGCCATTTCTGGCGATCCAGGGCCGTCTTCGGGCGATTTTAAAAGCCCCTGGCGCCACGGCAAAGCCCCTGGGCCCCCCCGTCCGAATGCCCCGTCCCGGGCCCCGCGGCAGGGCGTCCCTGGGCCGTCTCGGCGCCCTGGTGAGGGCCTGTTGGGGCAATACTTGGGTGTCCGGAACCATCTTGGAACGTCGGGACGCTGAACAGGCATTGGAATCCGCGTCCGG